TTTTTTTTTGGCTGATCGGGGATTGAACTCAGGCCCTTGCACTTGCCAGGGAAGTGCTTTGTCTACTGAGCCATCTTCCCAGCCCATTCACTGTATTTTGTGATCATGCCATGTTCTGTCTTGTGGATCGGAAAGAATGTTGTGATGGAGCTGATGTCTGTGGTAGTTTTAAGGGGGTGACTTTGATGGAGGCCAGATGTGTGCTGGCCTGATGGTTGGCAGTTACTTGGTGTATTTGGGCTGAAAGTAAGAGTTGAAACTTTGTGACATAAGCTGGGGATTTGCTATTTGGTACAGATACAAAATTATTTTCCTTCCTTTTGGTAGGTTATAATGATGTTAATTGCACCTCCTTGATTTTTCCAATCTGTTTGGTAGATTCTATTTACAATATGGTAGTTGTGGCTGTGTGTCTCCTCAGAGGTACATGCCATCGTAGGTGGGTCTTTTCAGAGGTGGCTGAATCTTTGAGTGTGTGATGCTGGGATTAGGGTGTGTGATAGCTAAATCAGTCTACGGATTGGGTTGGGAGCACTCTAATCCCAGTAGCCTAGACAGAGTATAAAAGATACAGAAAGGCCTGGGGAGATGACTCAGTGGAGTAAGTGCTTCCCTGGCAAGTACAAGGGCCTGAGTTCAATTCCTGGTTCTGCAAAAAAAAAAAAAAAAAAAAAAAAGATACAGAAAAAGCTGCTAAGGTCCCCCTACTTTGCTTTGCCCATCTTGAATGGTTCCCCTCTGCCTTGGAGCCAGCCAATTAGGAACTGAAACCACTACAAACTGTGAATCAAATAAGCCTTTCTCCTGTAACTTTGGGTGTCAGGTATTTTGTCTCAACAGCAAAAAAATTAACTAAGATGACTTGTTGACATGGTTAATTGCATTTTAAAGTCTTTCATATATAGTATTCAGATTTCTAAATCAGAAAATATACCTTTTATGAGATTTACCCTCAGTTTTGGTCACAGGAGGTGGGTAGCATTCCACTCAGTGTCTGTTACATGTGGTCACATTTCATCCTTCTTGTCACTTCCACGCACTTCTCTGGCTCTGTCGTCTCCTATAAAGTGATTCTAGATGAGATACAGTGAAGCTTGCTGAGTGTCTAGCTATTTCCCATGTCTGGTTTTGTGCCCTTGGGCAGAACAGTTAACTTCAAGCTTCAGTTTTCTCCCCTGGAAATGAGGAGTTGTGTGTTGGTCTTCTGGAAGCTGCCTCGCTCTACCTTCCTGACCACCGAATAATTCTAAAATGTTGGATTGGTGGTCAGTCCATAAAAACAAACATAACTGAATTTTGACTGAATTTTCTTCTTTAATGTTGTTTAGACTAATTTTGGAAAATGCCAAGTAGGAAATTTGCTGATGGTGAAGTGGTAAGAGGTCGGTGGCCTGGGAGTTCCCTCTATTACGAAGTGGAAATTCTGAACTATGATAGCAAATCCCAGCTCTATTCTGTAAAATACAAAGATGGAACTGAACTGGAGTTGAAAGAGAATGATATCAAGGTAAGACCCATTGTTCTTCCCCACCATGTGGGAGGCGGGAGTCCCGCCCCAGCTGCATGTGCACGCAGACCTGCCTGCAGGCTGGCTGCCTCACTGGGTTCAATCTGTTGTGTGGCTGGAGTTTGCCCTGTTGGTGATGGGCAGAGAGAGGAGGGAAGGACCCCGAGTTTCAGGAGGTGACTGAGGTGGTGACCCGAGTGCTGAGGGAGATGGGAAATGGCCAGGTGAGAGCTGCATACTGCAGACTGGGGGTGACGGCCTTGGCTAGGTGTCAGATGAGAGTGGCAGTTGGGGCAGTGGAGGGAAGCAGGAGCCAGAATGGGGTTCAGTGCTTGTTCCTCCACACTTGGCCAGACTTAGGGAGGCAGGGGAGGGTGGCCTCTGTTACATCGGGGTCTGTTCCACAGCTTGTTACCTGTTCAGGGAGCCCTGGGTAGGAATGCTTGTGTCAGATAGTGCGGCCTCAGCGTAGCTACTCAGGAATCTGAGACCGCAGGTCACAAATTAGGGGGCAGCCTGGGTAACACAGTGAGGCCCTACCTCAAAATGAGTAGGTGAATAAATATGTCATATAAATTATGAAGAAAAAGGATATCTGAAAATGCTTGCAGGTGTCTGTACCTGTTGTCACTTGTGCCTGCTGTGAGCTAGTCACATTCAGACCCATGTCCTGTGGACCACTTTACAGGCACCCAGGAGAAAGTCACACCCAACAGCCCAGGAGCTGCCCCAGGCCTGGTGGAAGGAAATGGGGGGGGGGGGAGCCTGTTCTGACGACCTTTGTTTATTGCTGGAAGTGGAATTTCAGATAGTTCTCAGACCAGGAAGTGCTCTTCCGGATTTTATCTATAGGCCTGCTGGCCTTGTTGTGCTTTTGCTTGAGGAAGGTAGAAGCCAGAATGGCTTGAGGGTGAGGATGAGACCCAGAATCTGCAGGGGCTGTATTCAAATAACAGGGAGGGAGACCCCTTCCAGTCCTGGAAGCCGTTGGGGGGGTGGGGTAGAACAGTGCCCTGGCATCCCCTGTTGTTTGGCGAGCTGTGGGAGTGACTCCTTGGCTATGTGCTCATCTCCTTTCCTTGTGATCTCAGTCTCCCTCTTGTTGGAGGGAGTCAGGAAAGTGGGAGGGACACAGGCTGTGGCTGCCCCTGTCTCTGCATCGCCCCAACCCCGCACCCTGGCCCCTGCCGCAGGCCTCAGAGTTGTCAGTGTGAGTGGCGCTGCGTTTTGGTGATGAGCTCTTTGCCCCCACCCTCCCCTCCAGCCTTTAACATCCTTCAAGCAGAGGAAGAGCAGCTCAGCGTCCAGTTCTCCCTCCAGACGCCGTGGGAGTCGTGGCAGTCGTGGCAGCAGGTCTCGGTCTCGGTCTCGGTCACGCTCACGCTCCCAGTCCCCTGGGCGGCCACTTAAAGGTTCCCGGAGAGCCACCTCTGCTTCCTATCAGGCGGATGTGACGGAGATGAGGAGGGAGATTCTGGAAGTTAAACTGACTCCTCTTGTATTGGTAACTTGTCGCTATTCTTAGACAGTGTGTTTCATCCATCTAGCCCTGTCATCTTTGCACGTGTTTGAGTTGCTTGCAGTTAATATTAAAATGTTAGTGACACATCAGTTTTTTAATTTAAATTTAAATTTTTATTACTGTCCATTTGCAATTATAATGATTATGTTCATTGTGGGAAGTTGGAGTAACATATCAATTTTAAGATTAAAACTTTCTTGTGGAAAGCATAATTCGTTTTTTTTAAAGAATGTTAAGTTATAAGAAGTGCTGTTTACCCAGCAGTCTGGGAGGCTGAGACAGGAGGACTATAAGTTCAAGCCTAGACCTGGGCAACTTATCAACTAAGCGAGATCTTTATCTCTAAAAAGGGATGTAGATATGTGACTCAGGGCCAAGGCCCTGGGTTCAATTCTAGTATTCCACTATTCCCCCCATAACAGTATTTAATATTGTCTTAAAAATGTTTAAATTTGAAATAGACACTGCTTGACATTGTGTAAGAGTCACTGTGCAATGAGACATAACTGTGTGACAGAAATGTTCTTGCTTTCCCAGCGTCATAGTTGGTTTCTTCCCTGTTCAGGGTGGTCATTTCAGTGGACAGACTGTCAGGAGTGCCAGCCTAACAGTGTCAGGGCACATGGAGGTATAGAGCTTATGCAGCAGGTAGATTAGGTGATTGACCAAACAAGAAATACCTTGTACAGGAATTAGAGTAGGGGCTGGTGAGATGGCTCAGTGGTCTAAAGCACCTACTTAGAACAAGCTTAGCAAAGCACAGGGACCGCGGTTCAATCCCCCAGCACCACATGCCAGCCAGCCCCGCCCCCTGGTGGGCTGAGCTGGCCACACACACACATAAATAAATAAATAAAATTTAAAAAAAGAATTAGAGTAAAAGTTCTCTTCTTAAAAAAAAAAGTTCTCTTCTAATCCTTTTATGTAGTTTCCCTTCTTTTTTGGACAAAATGCAGTAAAAACTTTTAATAACCTTAAAAAAAAAAAAAACTAGACTATATGCATACTGTTTATAGTTAAATTTTTATTTCTTAAACATGGTCTTGCAGTGAAGTTCAGGCTGGCCTTGAGTTCAGAACTTCTAGCTATCCTCCTGCCTCAGCCTCCTGAATGCTGGAAATATAGGTTTGTAGTCCCATACCTGGCTATAGTTAAATTTAAAAAAATACAATATTGAGAATAACCTTTCACAGCATACTTTTTCAGGATTAACTTGCTACCACTGTCTTATATTCTACTTAGAAGCCATTTGGGAACAGCATTAGCACATATAACGGAAGGCCCGAGCCCGAGCCCGAGCCCGAGCCCCAGCCGAGTAAGGGGAAGGACGTGCCTCACAGAAAACCTCAGGTATGAGGCAGGAGAAGGGCGCCCCTTACAGAGACATGCAGTATACAAGTTGCTCTCACCTTGGGCAGCTCTTTGTTACCGTTATTTTCCCTCCTGAAGCACTTTGGAAATCATAAGAGTTTGTAATCTGGTCTAAGACTGAATGTAATTTCACAGGTTCATTCGGGTAGTGTCTGCTGTGTTGGAATGCTGAATTCCTTAGTGAAGTTGCCTCTGAAAAATTGTTGGTATGGGTGTTTTAATACTTTGTGTTTTAATTAGGAAAGATTCACCATGTCCCAAGAAGGCAGTTATGTGTCTACTCAGCATAGCCTTCGCCCAAGAAGAGAAGAGATTAAATTCAGTGAAGTCAATTCTAAGGAAGAAAAGCTTGTTGCCAAAGAGCCCGATTCTCCAAGAATGTTTCAGGTGGCCACCCCTCAGAGGAGGAAACTGGAGTTTGGAGGTGTCCCTGGTAGGTGTCCTGTCCAGGCCTGGGCAGGCGAGGCCTTCGGGGGCTACTTGTGGAGTGGACAGAATATCAGTATGGCTGTGTTTAGGCATCTTTCCAGCAGGCTGTTACATGCTTTGGGCTGAGTGCAGAGAAGATGTAAAGGAGTCTGACCCAATAGACAGCAATAGAGAGGGTGGCGCTTGATGGATACAGGAGAACTGTGAAGTCCAGACCTGGGGATCAGGGTCACAGTCTCGGGTTTGACAGTAGATGGGCCCAATGAGCTAGGCAAGGAAAGTGCTTGCCAAAGCGTTCCTAGTCCTGCATGTGTTTTACAAGTGGTGATGCTTGGCTGGCTGGCTGGCTGGTCATTACAGGTGTGTCCAGCATCACCCGAGGTCTGTACATTTGACAGGAATGTGATATATTTTGATTTTTGGAAGTTTATGGGTACAGAATTTTTAAGATGAGATGGATTGTTTCCAGGTGAATGGCCGTGGGTTTGCTGGCCTCCCACTCCTCTGTTTGCTGGGGGAAGTTTCTGGAGCTGATTTCTGAGCTGGGGCGTAGCTGCTGGGCTGCTGGGTATCTGTGTTTCCTGCTCTGAGGTCCACAGTTGCTCGCTCTAAAGTCAGCATGCAGAGGGACAGAGTTCTGATGGGCCCAGAGGGTTGGTTTCAGGTCAGTAGCTGGGCCTGAGCTCAGGCCTTAGACACTCATGTGAGTTATAAACCAGCAAGCTGGAGCCGGCTTGAGGCCAAGCCTCACATTCCTGCCTGCCCACAGGTGCACTGCTCATCATGCTGGGCCTGCCTGTCACCGTTATCTTGCTGCTGTCCCTGTGCCGGCAGGCTGAGCCCAGCCTCCTGAGCTTCCCGCCCCCCTTGCCAGCTCTGTGTGACCTGTGGGAGCCCCAGGCTGGTGGGCTGTACCTCCTCTGGTTCTTTGTTCAAGTTCTGCTCTCTCTGCTGCCAATTGGAAAGGTAAGGTTTTTTTTTTTTTGTTTTTAATGTATTTAGTACAGGGTCTACAGGGTCACACTATTGTAGATCGGACTTGTAGTGATTCTTCTGTGTTCAGCCTCTGAAGCACTGGGATTACAGGCATGTGCCACCACACCCAGTCTCAATCTTGGTGGCGGGGCTGGCACAGCACATCAGGGGATCAAAGCCCAGCTGCTGTGCTCTGCCTAAGCAGGTGCTTTAGTCCGCTGAGTTATCTGGCCAGCCCTGGAAAGGTAAGTTTTTGCTGGCAGGAAAATCATTGTGAGGCTTTCCTAGCTGCTTTTCCATGGTTACATGAATGAATTCACACCAGTTTTAAGGTTAGAAGCTGCTGTTGGTCTTAACTAGCAGAACTGCATCCCTGGGCCATACTGATTTGCATGTGTTAACTTTCTAAACCAAATAGAAAAGAATAGGCTAGTTTGCAGATTGGCCTGACTCTGGGAGGTAATTGCGTGGGACATTCTTTCTCACCATGTATGCTTTCAAATGAAGCATTTTGAATCATTAATTGATAAGCTGTGGCACTCAATGGACTCACATTTTGGTTTTTAAGTACAAGTTTCTGATCTTTAATGCTTTTGAGCAGCACATCAATAACATTTTATGAATTTTTCAGTCATGCTGTATCTTTAAAGTTTGTTCCCATTGTGAAGTTTTTATTCTTTTACTAGAGTTCTTTGCCTGGATATATGTAAAGGGATGTGAGATTCCTAAGTAATACATAATCTGTGTAAGAATCTTATTCTTAGAGCTGTGCAAGTTGACCAGCTGCAGACCAAGGGCCAGTTAGTTCTTTTGTCATGGCAAATGCCACTGACGGGTGGACACAGGCTCCAGGGCCAGGTGCACCTGCTGCCAGCTCTGCAGGAAGGGGCCTTTGGTTATTGCAGTAGTAATATAGGGCAGGACTAGCTTGATGTTTACTAGGAAAAGCAGTTTGGATGGTTATAAATCACATGTATATTCAAAGTACATAGCTATATTGTGGTATATGTTAAGTATGTGCTTATAGTCACAGTCTAAAGCTCAACACAATACATGCTAGACACCTTTGAGAGATAGAGATCATTGGGAGTCAGCATGTGGAGGTGGCTAACCTGATGATCGGACAGGTCTTGCCTTTTCCCTGGGTTTTCTTTCCTATCTGATAAGGAACTCTAGACACGTGATACCTGTTGCTGTTGGATGCTTTGAAAGCATGACTGTTTCCAAGCAGTGCCTTAGGGAGGAAAATGGGATGGCCTAGACAGGTGGCCCATGCCCTTGTCCACCTAGAGCATGTGTCTCATAGCTTCTCCTGTGTGGGCCTCGCCCTTGAGTTGGCTCCTTCTGGAGCTGGTGATGTTATAGGGTGGCTGTGCATCTTAGGCACAGCAAGGAGGTGCAGCGTGCACGACACCTATGCTCTGGACACTGCGGGTAGGTGGAAGCTGAGTGACCGACTGGCCAGGGTCTCACAAGTGAAGAGAGCGGGGTGGCACCATAGTATAGTAAGCAGTGGGGTCACAGCAGATTGCTGAGCCATGGCTCTACCAAATGCAGAATGATGATTTTTGGAGCACCTTTGGTCTTGGGAGGGTCCAGGACATGGCTGGGACAGATAGGTGGCTCTTGGAGGAGTCTTAGCATGTCAAGTTAGTGATAAGATTTAGGTTCAAGAAACATTTTTGAAGGTGGAATTGTTTCCTCTGGGGCAGGGTCTCTCTGTTAGCCTCTGCAAGGTGTAATTTCACTTCTTTACTGTGGAGAGGTCTGCTTCCTTGGGCATGCTGAAATTTAAGAGATGGCAGAAGGATGATGCTAGTGTGCTTTTTCAATTTTCAATTTTTCTTTTCATAGGTTGTAGAAGGATTGCCTCTTGTTGATGGAAGAAGACTCAAGTACAGATTAAATGGTGATTTTTTTTTTTTTTAAGACTTAAGTTAATTATTGGATAACTTAAACTTTTGAGTAGTGGTTGTGACCCTGTGACACATGAGCTGCAGCAGGCTGTTACTGAAAGCTCTAAAAAGTACGCCATCCATCAAAGCTGCTTCCGCTAGAGCTGCGAACAGAAATTCTTTGTAGTTTGAGGGATGTGCAGATAAACTTTACCTGCAGCCAGAGTTAAGACTCAGGCCATGTGAAATGGAAGCTGCCCAGTCACTTGACCATCTAGCTTTACCTCACTTTACCCACCTTACCAAACTTACGTAATCTTACCTGCTTACCTTTACAGTGCTGGGGTTGGAACCAGCCCTGCTGCATTTCCCAGGAGCACCCGTCCTACTTGCAGTGCTGTATTTGCCCATGGTCCCCCCCCTCCAGAAACCCTGTAAACAGAGGTGTCCCAACCCTTCTGTCTCACTTGCTCCTGGCCTCCAGCTGTCTCTCACGTCTGTGTTACTACTCTTCTCAGGGCCTTTACCAGGGATGTCCCCACAAGTTTGCCAGCTGCTGCTTGCTCTTCACGCCTGCTCGAGCAACCTCAGGCCCCGCCTCGCCACCTCTGTCCTTTCGACAGTATGTGTCTGTCTGCTGGGTCTTCCTCCAGAATGGCGCTGTGGGTAGCCCTTGGCTCATTGTAGTGTCTGGTGCCTGCGGGGCTCCTGGGGCAGTGTGGTCTCAGCCAGCCAGCAGGTGGCAGATGCTGTCCATCATGGTGTGGGCACCTGCTCTGGTGTGAGCAGTGTAGAGACCCAGATCTGGAAGGCAGTCTCCATTAGATCTGCATTGCTTTTGCTTGTGGTGGAGAAGCTCGGCTGAAGTCAGCAGGCGCCAACTGCCTGTGTCTGAACACTTGGCCCTTGAGCCTCTCGTTCTTACTGTCCTAGCTTTGGGTGCTCTGGGTCGTGTCTTACCTGCCCCTGCTTCCACCTGAAACCAGGGTGTTGGGTCCTGGTAAGGCCTGGTACCTCAGTGGGCCATGCCTGTCGTCTGCTAAGCTGAAGCCCAGCTGGGAGACCCATGGCTGCTGCATGAAGTTGAAGTCCTCTCAGAGGGCAAGGTGCAGACCTCCCTGTAGGCTGCACACCCTTGGCAGAGGGGTGGAGCTGGGGGAACAGTCTAAGCTGCATTCCCGAGGTCCTGGTGCTAGTGTCTCCTGTCTCCTTGCACATGCCCCTTGGTCTCTCTCCTTAAGGCCTGGTACCTTTAGAGCCTTGGATCTCTGGGAAGCAGCACTGGCCTGGTTGCTGGGTCCTTTATAAAACTTCCTCATCAAGTTACTCTAATTCTGATATTTGGATATTATTTTCATGGGAGCTTTACTACGATTTCATTTTTTTTTTTTTTGGCGGAACCGGGGATTGAACTCAGACCCGTGCGCTTGCCAGGGAAGCGCTTATTCCACTGAGCCATCTCCCCGGCCCCTACGATTTCAATTTTTAAGAAACTTTATTTTTATTTATTTATTTTGTCTTTGAGGACAGGGTCTATAGGGTCTCACTGCGTAGACCGGACTCATAGTGATCCTCCTGTTGACAGCCTCCCAAGGTGTGCGCCCCCACTCCATCTCAATCAAAGTCTCAGTGTGCCGCAGAGGCAGGACTGGGCCTGGCACCAATGCTGGCGCTGCAGGCCTGGGGAGTGAACTCCCAGCCCCGGCATCTGCCTCAGCAGATGCTTTAATCTGCTGAGCTATTTGGCTAGCCCTCAATTTTTAAGGAACTTTAAATGATTATTTTTAATCCATGGGCCATTCTTTTAATTTTATTTTTTATTTTTTTATTTTTTTGTCTTTTTGAGACAGGGTTTTACTATACAGTTCAGACTGGCCTTGAACTCACTTTGTAGCCCAAGCTGGTCTTGAACTTGTGGCAATCCTCCTGCCTCAGCCTCCCGAGTACTGGCATTAGAGGTGTGTGCCACCATGCCTGATGAGTGCCATTCTTCTCAATATTTACAAATTTTATGAGAGTTTAATGAATATTTTCAAAAGTTCAAGTGTTAAAAATTATTCTTTGGAATAAGCACAGTGTGGGTTTAAATACTAAAGAGAGTGACCCTGTTTCTTTATAGACACTCTGCTTTTAGCGTTATTAGAGAAGTAATGCCGCTTGTGTCCCAAGAATGTGACGGCTTCTGTAGGAAGCGGACATGGAGGAGCCCAGGGAGCCTCTTGGCCAGGCGAGGGTGGTGCACTGAGGGTGGGTGGGGTGAGCTCTGTGGGGTCGGTGCTGACGGGGATACAACCTCACAGGAGGTGAGGGCGCAGATCACACTTGGGTGCCTGTGAGTCGTGTATGGTGCTTCCTTTCAGCTTTCCCTTAATTAAAGCAGATAATGACTGCTCACTATGAAGAAGAATAAAAGTATTTTACAGATGCAGAAGTACAGAATTTCCATGGAGAATCACCCCTTAGGGTGGTGCTTATTTGTGTGTTCTTGTGTTTAGTTTCAGCAGTGCTTTTTCTGACAGTGGTGGACTTGAAGCCAGCCATGAGGTAATGCTAGTTATCTTGCTCTTCCCTGCAGGATTTTATGCTTTCATCCTGACTTCTGCAGTCCTTGGCACTGCTGTCCTCTGGGGCCTAGAGCTCCATTACCTGCATGAGCACTTCCTACAGCTGGCCTTCGCAGCCATGGTGTTCACGGCCCTCCTGAGCGTCTACCTGTATGCACGTGCTCGGAAGGCTCGTGGGCCTGAGCTGTCACCTGCCAGCTGTGGTGAGTGCTGTACCGTCTGGCTGCTTCCAGACCTGCAGTGATGGCTTTGATCTCTAGCTTTATTTTGGGGGCATCAAGAGAAGTGGGAGGGGCTGGGGAGATAGCTCAGTAGAATAAGTGTTTGCCTGGCAAGCACAAGGTCCTGAGTTCAATCCTCAGTACTTAAAAAAAAAAGAAGTGGGAGGACATAAAAGATGAAAAAATATAAATAAGTGATTTTAAAACATTTTTTATTTTTCCACGTATTTTGCTATTTTTTTCTTTCCTATTTTTAGCTACTTAATAATGATAGACATTTTGTTGAACTTTTAGGAATTGTAAGTTATGATAGATGCTGTTTTGTCCAGAGTAGTAAATACCATTTTTAAAAAGTAGTAACTATTGGGCCGGCGAGGTAGTTTAGTGATCTGAAGTGACGGCTTAGGCAAGCTTAGGCAACTGCAGGGACCATGGTTCAATCCCTGGCACCACATGCCATGCCAGCCCGCCCTCAGAGCAGGTTGAGATGGCCACAAAAAAGAAAAAAAAAAAAGGAAACTTGCAAATTGGCTAATTCTGACTCAGATATTTGACATTTTTAAAGAATTGCTTAAATTTAAAATTTGAGGGCTGGCCAAATAGCTCAGTGGATTAAGCACCTAGAAGCAGGCGCAGGGACCAGGGTTCGATCCCCAAGCCTGCCATGCCGGCCCTGGCCCCAGGGCAATCTGAGCCAGCGATTGAGACGGGGTGCAATTGAGACTGGGCATGATGGTGTGAGCCTGTAATCCCAGCTTTTGGGAGGCCATAAACATATGGATCACTGTCAGTCCGATCTAGTAGTGAGTCGCTGAGCACCCTGTAGACCCTTCCCTAAAATACACACACGCGCGCACACACACACACAAATTGTACACTTAAAAAAAAACCTGTTCCTTCAAAATTGGGACCTGGCCACCACCTGGGCCACGAGGTGAGTGCTCTTTTGGAGGCTGTGTCCCCTGCCCTCTGCCATCAGGGCTCTAGGTGCTCAGTAGTACCTCAGAGGCGGCAGGGTGGGAACCCAGGGATACAGTAGGTGGGTTGTGGAGCCTGTGGTGGGGTACTTAGAGCATCATTTGGGGGATTCTTCAACCTCAGGCAATGCTTTCTATGACTTCTTCATTGGCCGTGAGTTGAACCCGAGAGTTGGCTCTCTTGATCTCAAATACTTCTGTGAACTTCGCCCTGGCTTGATTGGATGGGTAAGTGGTCTTTAAGAATTCTTGATCAGTAGTACACATTTGTCTTCCATTTAGAAACAAATATAGACACATTTTTTAAGGGACAATGATAGCTTTTTTTTTTAATGATAGCTTTTTATAATACTGTCTACTTGATGAAATATTTTACTCTAGTTTCTAGAGGTTTAAGTTGCCATTTCTAAGTTACTGTTAAAATTTGTTTCTGTATCAGTTTATGTTTATGTAAGAAAGTAATAGTGTAAGTGAATTGATGTAAAAAAAAACTTACCTCCCCTTTAAAAAACATTCTGACCAAGTTGGAGCTTGAGGGGGAACAGCGCATATAGAACAGGGTCCTCATGTTCTTCACCCACATCTTGCAGGGTTGGGGCCAGTGTTAGGACAGGCCCTCGCAATGTCATGGCATCCCTGAGGGTTTCTGCTGCGTGCTTCCTTGTCTCAGGATCCTGTGATCCTCAAGCACTTCCCTGTTGCCTCCTTGGAGTCTGCTGTAGTCTGTGACTCTTGTCCATCCTAGCCTCTCACAACCCCTCACATTTTTTGAAGTGTACTGGTCAGGATTTGTCTAAGAATGTTCTCCAGCTGGGTTGGTCAAATGTTTTCTCATGATTGGGGTTAGATGGTGTGTTTTTGCCAAGACACCATGGAAGCAACCTTGGGTCTTCTGGTGCTGTGCCTGGGGTTTGTGATGAGTTCGTCTCCGGCCTAGCACTGGTGTAGTTGATGGAGTCTGTAGCCTCAGCAATACATTGCCCTGGCCCCGTGTCCTCATCACTCCCTAAGACTTTCCCTCCTTGAATCACAGGTGGTGATTAACCTAGGAATGCTTTTGGCTGAAATGAAGGTGCAGAACCGGGCTGCTCCTTCCCTGGCAATGGTTTTGGTTAACAGCTTCCAGCTTCTCTATGTGGTGGATGCTCTGTGGAATGAGGTAAGGAAGTGTAAGAGCCCAGGCCTTGTGGTTTTAGGGAGTGGGTGAGTGGCTGGACCTGGGAGCCTCGTTGCCTCCACACAGAGTGAGGGAGGACGCCGTGCAGTGCTGTCCAGAAGGGCAGGTGCTGGTGGCCACATGTCCACAGAGATCCTACTTATAAACAGCATTCTAAATAAGATTGGCACATCTGGGCTTTTGTTTCAGTGAGTGGCGACTAATGCACACAAGTAAAGTTTAACTTTTTAATTAGTACCACATGGAGACACAGATAATCATTGAATGGGAATGACACCTTGATTGTTGAGGCAGCTAGGTTTTTTTTTCTTCTTTTTTTTAATGCATTTGGTACACGGTCTTACTACGCAGCTCGAACTCATAGTGGTCCTCCTGTTTCAGCCTCTCCAGTGCTGGGATTACAGGCTTGTGCCACCACACCCTGTCTTGGTGTGGCCAGCAAGGCACATAGTACCGGGGATCAAACCTGGGTCCTTGTGCTTGCTTAGGCAGGTACTTAGACCACTGAATTCTTAAATAAAGGGGAAGATGTTCAATATTGATCTTCCAAAATACAAAGTGTGGCTCTAATTGGATGTAAAAGCAGAAATCAAGATGGCAAGGAAATGAGTTTTCTTTGGAAGCTGAGTTTCTGCTTGTGGCTGTTTTCCCAATTGGTTGAGTTGTTGCTGCTGCTATTACTGGGATTGGTGGGAATTTTGCTTAGTCCTCTCCACTCCATTAAAATGCTCCTTGAAAAAGTATTTCCTCAGTCTTCTGTTTTTAATTTTTTAAAAATAAATATTCACTATTATATTTGTATTCATCTCATGCCAAGTCAGATTTTTTTTTTTTTTTTTCAATTTTAAAGCCAGTTTGTAGCCCTGCACTGGAATGCTCAGAACAGGTCTCTATGACATTCCACTGACGGAGAGGCGGTCCCTCTGCTTGGAGTCTAGTTTTAACTATTACTTGGTTGTCCTTTAGCCGGGTCTCCATGGACCTGGTCTCCCAAGTAGGCCTCTTGCATGAGACTGAGAAATACTCAGGCTGACTCTGAGTGTGTGGCCCTGGCAGTGAGGTGAGCTGCAGGTGGGCAGCAGGGTCGGTGCCTCTGAGGAGTGCTCCCATCTCAGACTCAGGCTGTGCCTCCCTCAGCACAAGCCCCGTTGTAGCTTTGGTGGGGTGGTCGCCTGAAGCGCCAGTCCTGTAAGTGAATTTCAGTCCCCCAGATCTCAGCACTTGGGAGTGGGACAGCAAGGAAAGCACTGGGTGTTGGCCTGGCCAGCTCCGCTCCTGCGCTGCCGCATACTGAGGAGTTTGCAGCTTGCCATCCAGATCTGAGTGCTTACTCCTTACACTCACAAGTGACTTTTTTTTTTTTCTTCCTTTTTTTTTTTAATTTTTGGTACTGGGAATCAAACTTTGTACTTGCCAAGCAGGTGCTTGTGCCACTGAATTGTATCCCCAGCACACAAGTGACTTTTTAATGGGTTAGAAATTCATCTTTTTTAGAGACTTAGCCACCAGGTATTGCTTTCTGTTAACAGAAACATTTTGCTTGAAGGCAGGGCTTTTGGCCAGTTCTGATAGTGCCCTGGGGTAGAGTGCGAAAGGTTGTTTGTTTCTACATGGCTTGGGCCCAGGAGGTGTCACCTTGTATGTGGCCTTGATGTGGGGTCCTCTGTGCCTAGCTGCGGGCGGGCAGCTGGCAGAGTGCACCACCATCTCGTGGGGTCAGATAGAATCCCTGTCGGGGAGTGTGCCACAGCAGGCAGCTGAGGGTGCCAGCCAAGGACAGTGTCCCAAGAATACCTGGATGGGCTGCTGGATGGAACTGAGGGTGCAGAGCTGCCTGCAGGATCTGCCCTGTCTCTGTGGTGCCATTCCTGAGAGGTGAAGCTGTCAGTAGAGCAGGTTGCCAAGCCACTTGCTTCCGCTGGGAGAGTGTCTGTAAACCGGGCATGGCAGCTCACTCCTGTAATCCCAGCTACTCGGGTCAGGATTGGGATCATAATAGCTTCATACCCTTGACCGCCAGAAGGCCCTTTGTGTGCCGACTGAGTGGAGGAGCTGCTTCTTTCCTGTGGTCCCTACAGGAGGCGCTGCTGACGACCATGGACATCACCCATGAGGGATTTGGGTTCATGTTGGCCTTTGGGGATCTGGTATGGGTGCCCTTCACCTACAGCCTGCAGGCCTTCTACCTTGTCCGCCATCCGCACGAGCTGTCCTGGCCCCTGGCTGCGCTGATCGTTGCTCTGAAGCGTGAGTGTCCACTCTGGGCTCTGGGGGAGGGCCATGCAGTGTGTTTTGCTCTGGTGTCTGCCTCTCTGTCACTTGCTGTTTTAAGTGGCCCCAGCTAGCTGTGATGGAGGAGAGAACGTGCTTTCTACCCAGGTTCTTGTGTGGTTGTCTGAATGGATGATTTTAAGCAAAATTTGTTTGTAAATTTCACAAAATTTAAGTGAATTAAAACATGGATCGTTCTAGTGAGGGTTTGTCTCCTCTCTGGAGGGTCTGCTATTTTAGGTAGTTGTCTTGAGACCAGTGGGATTGGTCCTGGCTTTGCAGGGCTTGTATCCTAAATGGAAGGAGGCCTGAGGCAGCTAAAGCCCTGAGGTGCTTAGGGGCAGGAGCTTGTACCCTTGGGGGGCCTAGGGGTTGATCTGACTCTGCAGGAGGTGCAGGCTGCCCTGGCAGAGGTCCCCTGGGAGCATTTTCCCTCACTCACCCCAGGGACAGTAGGTGCCTTAATTACACTAATCTGTGTTGGTGAGGGAAGAAGACGCTGAGCTGCTTAGTCGGTGGGTTGGATTTCCAAGGCAGCCATGCTGATGTGAGGAGGGGAGGTGTTTCTCTTCCCTCTGGTCTGCTGACTTGAGTATATCTAGGATCTTAGGGCTTGCAGGTTTCAAGCAGCAGGGAGAGGTCCCTGAGCAGAGGGTAGCCTGTGGGCAAGGGGGCACAGGACTGCATTGTTATGTCTTAGGTTTTACTTTCTTTGTGGATGTGACTGTAGTTGCTTGTTTTACTTTTAAGATGCATGACAATAGATTTCAGAAGAGTTTAACTTTGCATCTTCAGAGGTTGAAGCTTTTTGAATTGTTTTGAAGAAATCAAGAGTATTTTCTGATTTGGATATTTACTCAAGGCAGAAACTTTTCCAGCAGAAATTGCAAATGACTTTCAGTATTAAATAAGATCGAAATTATTAACATAGAAAATACTTTAATATTACAGTTTGTGGATACATAATCTTCCGATGTGCAAATTCTCAGAAAAATGCATTCCGGAAAAATCCCTCTGATCCAAAGCTTGCACGTGAGTACAGTGTTTTTATGATGTGTGTTACGCGGGGATTTTACATCTCTGCTGTTTACCGATCATTATGAATGTATTTTTCTATGTAGATTTGAAAACCATTCACACTCCCGCGGGGAAAAACCTCCTGGTGTCTGGATGGTGGGGCTTTGTCCGCCACCCCAACTACCTGGGCGACCTCATCATGGCCCTGGCATGGTCTCTTCCATGTGGTGAGTGCTGCGGGCAGGGGCCGTGCGACTGCCAGCACAGACAGGCAGTGCTGCTGCGCCCCCAAGGGGTCAGGACTCAGCAGAAATTTTACTTGAAGCTTCTAAGTTTTTGAGTTTCAAATGTGCCCAGTGGCTGTTTTTCTTGGGAATATGGAACTTTTAATGTGTAACTTAGTGTAGTTAAATTCTGGAAGACTTCGGTTGTTAGAGGGTTAGGAAAAAACTTGTTTTTAACCTGAGACCTCGGCTTGTCTGCGTTTTCCCCCGCAGGTTTTGCGCATGCGCTGCCGTACTTCTATGTGGCCTACTTCGTGACGCTGCTGGTCCACCGGGAGGCCCGGGATGAGCAGCAGTGCCGGAGGAAGTACGGGCTGGCCTGGGAGCGCTACTGCCAGCAAGTGCCCTACCGCCTGCTGCCCGGCGTGTACTGACTGCCCGGCCGGCTGGCCGGAGGCCGGCGTGCCGCACGCCTGCGTGTGCAGGGCCGGAGAGCCACGCAGTAGGTTTTTAATGGAGCCGCTTATTTTTACGAAATTGTAACAGTGAAAGAAAAAACACAAGTGTTAGACTTTGCATCGTAATAGAATTTCAACCCTTACAAACCATAAGACAGTTTTTCTTATATGTTGAAAAGAATGCTATTAGTGTTCATAGTTTTTGCTTCCTTTCAAATTCTGATATTTTTCCTTTTGCTAGTTCGTTTTGTTAAAACACTGTTACATTTGAAATAGTGTACATTTCTGTTCCATTGTACTAAGAGAATAGAACTTGCTTCATTTCTCTTGAAAGCCTCTCCCAGCTATGTGATTTGAAGGGCGAGGGCCCCTGTGAAGTGCTTGCTGTGAGGAGCGGAGCCGCTGGCAGCGGACACTGCCACTGGGAGGCGGCACAGCCCTTGTCTTCCCGCCTGGGAACCCGCATTGGAAGATGTAAATAGCTTACTTCTATGTAATATATAATAAGTGCAGATTTTTTTTGTACAGTATTTTCAGTGTGAGATAATAGCTTTTTAACAAAACATTTTTAGTATTTTAAAGTAAATTAGAAATTTTGAAACAATTAGAATTCATTTAATATTGTATAGATGCTGTTAAAACATAGGAAAGGTATTTTTCTTAACCCAAAGTTTGTGATTTTGGCTTTGCTACCTCAGCTGCAGGTTGTGTTTGCCTTTATAAACTGTTGCAAATAGAAAAAAATAGAACAAATATATATATTTTTTGGAGGAACATCACTATTTAAACATTTTTACATAATGGTGTATGAAAATTTGCCATTTTAAGCTATATATTTTTATATTTTTTACTTTTTAAATTCACTGGTGTTTTTGCTACTGTTTAGTTTAACTCATGCAGTCTATTCTGTATGTCTCATATCTACAGAATTTTACCTGTGATAAAAGAGTGCTATCTAAAAACAGCTTGGGGTTTAATTTTTAATAGGTGTGCATAAGGTAGCTTTCGCCACTAAATTATGATGAAGCTGCTGTAGCCTTAGTTATACTGTAAAGGAGCAGTAGCAAAATAACTTCTGTATTCAAAACAAAATCGTCTGCAGTATGTGAAGCACGGGGGATGCAGCGCATATACCATGTGTCCACGAGAATGCGCCCCAACTTAGTGTTCCTTTGTTACCTGCAGTAGTCACTCTGTAACTGAAGCGTGTATAACTTAGTCTGTGAATGTGATCATGAAGTTAGTTTGCTAGTCTAGCATTCTGTGTCCTTAAATCTAAACATTGTTTTATTGAAATTGTCAGTATTTTACTAATGTTGCTGTATGCAGCAGGTTTTTCTTTGCTCTTTTAAAGCTTTCTGGCACTGGCAAGTGTGTGCAGTTTTCTGTGCTGGACTCACCTCAGACTGCGGTTTCAGTTCTCCTGGTGATACTAGGAGAGCGCTTGGCGCATCAAGGGCTGCACTTTTCTGTATTGCCTGCAGTTTGCTCTTAATTTTGTTTTTGAAACATTTGACAAGCTTTGCAATGAAGTTTTAAGTTGCAAATAAAGTTGAAAATAAAAATGTGATCTCTTTGGAGCCTCGCTTCTTTTCTGCCTACAGCTTTGGACCGATTGGCAGCAAGGCCACGGCTTCGGCTGTGCCCCCACTGGGTTTTCCAGGTTTGTATTTTTGGGAGCTTCTAGACCAGAGGGAGTCCTGAAGGTGCACTTGGGCTCCTGGCCAGGATTGTGGGCGTGATGCTCTGAGAGTGTTGGGCTTGAAGGGGTTGGTGTTGGCAGGGGTCCAGCTCCCAGGAAATGGTCAACTATTTAGTATTTGCTGTTTGAGAAATGCTAAAAGCTGTGTAGATTCGGCAAGCCTTTCAGATGTGCCTGTGTCAGTCACAGGAGTGTATGTCTTCATGTCTTCGCACTGTGGACACAGGCCAAGGTCATGTGAGGAGGAGCGGGGGCCGGGCAGTGGCATCTGGGTGAGACCCTGCGCTCTCAGCACTGGTTTCCTGGTGGGGCAGTTTGCATGGTGCAGGGGACTACTTGAGAGTTCTTCCTGTGCTCCTAGTGGTGGTCGCTGCTGTTGTGATCACTGTAGCAGCACAGGGGCCCTGGAGTCACCTAAGGAAATGGATTGGTTTCAGTGGAGACAGTGGCAGATGTACGTGCTGCACGGGAGCAGTGGTCCCCGCAGGGCTGCAGTTTCTACACGCTGCACTCACGGGCAGACGTGCTCCACCCAGAAACCTCCCGTGTGGGGGGTGATCTCAGAGCAGAGGGCTGGCCCCGCCCGGCTGCATGCCTGAGGGCTTGGAGTGGTGTACACACGTCAGTATGGTGTGGGATGGAATTTTATTTGTCATTTTTCTCACATAGCAGTGCGACCTGCATGGTGATCCAGTGAGTGGGAGGTCTTCTGGTAGGTAAGTGCACTGAGGTCAGGAAGTTCGTTGGTAAACCAGTAGTTGTCGAAGTTATGGACCTTTCAGGAGTCTGGTAAACCGGGCATTCAAAAGTGTAGAGTTCTGAGCCTGGCTGGTTAGAAGTGTCTTGCTTTATAGTAGAAATCTAAAGGAAAAATCCAGTGGTCAGATTGCAGTTCTAGGGAACCAGTAGCTCACAGTTTTCATAAAAGAGTTTGAGATTTGTGATGAACTCCATGTACTTATGGACTAGATGGCTAGTATAGCTGCGCTTGGAAAGTTTGAGAGTCATAATGGCTTTCTTTATCATTGATATTCCTGAGAAATAACGATATTGGTACAGTATGTTTTAGATTTTGCAGTCTTAGGCCATTTTGTACATTGTTGCCTTCCCCCTGGGAGGTCACCGGAGTAGAGACGGGAAGGTGGGTGGCGGGGGTGGGGGCTGTCTGTTACCTTGACTGGCAGGAAGTGAATGTCAGGGAAGTCACAGCACATCTCAAGAGGTAGTGAGTCCTCCAGGGTATTCAGCTCCTGGTCCCACCGTGCCCCCTCCATGAATAAACCAAACACGTGAACTCCCTTGTGAGTGGGTTCAGAGCCCTGCAGGGGAAGAAGGTGTCAGAGGGCACTTGTCACTCCTGGCCACCCAGCCCTCCTTGGTGGCCATGTCCCTCAAGTTCCATATATCTAAAATGGGCAAGAACATTCTGAATCACACAGTTTTGCCTGAAAGAGCCTCTGCGGAGCAGGAAGTGGGTCTACACAGCTTGTCTCGGGCCGGCCTGGAGGTGGGCGTGTGGCTGACTGTGGCTTCCATTTGCACTTGTGAATCCCAGCCCAGGAGCATGCTGTGTAAAAGCAGTCCATTTTGGACAGCTGTCATTCTCCAAAGAGCCGCTCCAATAAATGGAAGCCCTTATCCTTCCCTAAGCCACAGCCAGCGTCTGGTGGGAGGCAGAGGAACCCGAGAACTGGTGCTCAGATACTAGAGCAAGCAAGCAGGGTGGAGTGTGTGGCCACTCCTGGGGAGCGGCAGAGGTGGTGGCCATAGACGATCCTGGTGCAGTGCCATGGTGTCCCGAGCTATGTCCAAGGGCTGCGTGGTGCAGGCAGTGTGGCTTAGTGCGGTGCCAGCACAGGAGATGCTGGCTGTTAGGGAGGCCCTGTGGTCATGCACACCAGCAGGAGCATTCCAGCTAGCAGAGCTTCGGACACATTTTAAAATACACAAATTAGTAAGTTCAGTAAGCTTCACATTCTAGATTTCTTGTACTTTGTGTTTCCTCGTCAAGTGACCACTTGACTCTCCCTAAGCCCCATCACAGGCACTTCTGTCTGTAGCAGGACCCCTGCCATCTGCCTTCCCTGTGGGTCCCACTCCCAGCAGATGAAGTGTCCTGTTGCTCCTGTGCCACCCTTTGCAGAGCTCTTTCTCCCAGTCCTCTCTGCTCCAGGATGAATTCTGCCCACTCCATCCTTCTGAGGAGGTTTCCCACACACAGTCGCTCCGAATGCTCAAGGAACCATTTCCAAGTGCAGTCTCAGAAGACCAGGCCTGACAGAAGCAGGGCCGCCCTACCGCAGAGCCCCAGACACAAGATCCAAGTGGGCCAGAAATCCTGAGACCCTGAGGACAGGAGGCAGGCAGACTGGACCAAGGAAAACCCCGATCAATATCGTGCCCAGTAACAACTGAACAGGGCACTGCCAGCTCTCAACTTCAGCCCTCCAGGCCAGTCTGTTGCTACTGATGCCAAAATCTTAAAACTATTACAATTAAGATGATTCAACCATAAGAAATCTTTGAACACATGAATCGTCGACATAATAATGTAATTATCTGCATAAATGTTGTAAAGGTCTTTTACTACATTTACCTTCTTATCAGTACAGGAAACACTTAGCAAAATAAGTTTCAGACAGACCTGTCTGGACCCACCATGTTAATAAGGCTGAGAGCCACCTGGTTATTTCAGTAGACAGAAAAAGCATTTAATAAATTCAGTGACTATTCATGAAAGAAAAAACATCAGCAAACTAAGATAATGAGGTAACTTCCTGAATCTACAAAAAGCCTGCAGTTGAAGTAATGGAGTACCGAGGGCTGTTTCCTGAGCTTAAGGAAAAAGCCAGGTGCCCATTGTGAACTCTTCTTTTGCCCCAGTGGATATGCTTAGCCCTGGAGCACGTCTCGCTCCCAGCTCACGCCACACAGGGTGGCCCCATGGCAGAGCCACAGTGGGGAGATACTTTGCATAACAGATGAGCAGCCACTTTTAACTATGTACACTTTCACTAGTGATCCTCCTGTCTCGGCCTCCCAGTGCTGGGATTACAGGCGTGTGCTGTTGTACCTGGTTCTAGGGCTGGCACAGCGTGCGGTATCAGGGATTGAACTCTGGTCTCTGTGCTTGCCAGGCAGGCACTTAGACCACTGAGCTATCTCTCCAGCCCCAAGTAGTTGCTTTCTATGGCCAGAAAACCGAGTTTACTGAATGATGTTGCTCAGCTGATTGAAAGATGGATGCTCCAGGACTGAAAAGACAGTATCCTCCCAGAACTCATAGGTAAACATGCAGGCCCTGCTCAGCAGCTCACCAGCTGCTTGAAAGATGAAATGGGGTGCTCAGCATGGTACAATAGGCTCAGTCTGCAGAGGGTCAAGCAGACTCACATGTGCCCTTGGAGTCAGGCCATGTGTGGGGCCGAGGGCCGGGGTCTGCTGTGTGCTGGCCCAGCCTGGCTGGGTGGGCTGCTGGGAGGGGCTGGTGCCAGCAGAAAGGCCCGGCTGTTCTTTCCCCCCTGAGAGCCATTACCTTGAAGGCTCTCCAGATGAGGCGAAGCCTGCTCTGGTCCGCTGCGGTGGAGAACTCCTCCTCACTGACGTTGCTGGTGTCGGAAACCACGTGGTGAGAGAAAGTGAGGGCATCCGTGGGGACTCCTTGTGACCTCCCGTAGTCTTGGAGCACAGCAGCAAGAAAGGCTTGGAGAAACACACAGCCTCCATGGGCCAGGGCTTGGAGGCCTGGCACCCTGCCCGTGTGACCTGGGCCAGCCCCAGGGCGCCAGAGTCTCCAGGAAGTGGTGCTTTTGTGGCAGAGAAAGATCACCCCTAGGGGAAACAGCCCAGCCACTCCTTTCCCTGGCCTCCACTTCTGTAGCTGGCCTCGGTGTCCACCCAAGGCCTGGGTCAGCGCAGCCTTCCTGCCCCTGGGCTCCAGGTCCTTTCTCAACACTGATCTGCCACAGTCCACCCCACATACCGGGCTACTTCCCACCCCACTGTGCTCCCGCAGCTGCCCCTGCACTGCTCCCTGTGTCCTTGCGCTGTGGTGAGCATTGCGGTCTGCCTCAAGCCTGTTTCGGGCGCCGCTCCTTGGCTATTCTTGCCCTTGAGCAGGGCCCCTATTTGCACTGCACCACACCGAGTCACATATACTCATGCAGAAGGCCGTGCACTTGCTTGTCCTCCAGATATTCACTGTGAGCTGTGTTGGTGCTGGGTGATAGGCACACAGGACAAGGGCAATGCCTGTCCTGAGGGTGCCTGCATAGGGCCACATGCGAACACTGCTCAGCACTTCTGTCTCCTGCTCCCAAAGTAGCCGGTGGATGAGCGGTGGAAGCCCACTGGGTGTACTGGAGCTTGGGGGCCTCTTCCAGGACTCTCCCATGGCCCTAGGCAGCTCCTGATCTCAACACCCAAAGGGGCTCGACGGTCTGCTTCAGGGTGACAAGGACACAGGTGGGAGTGGAGGGAGGCCAGAGCCACAGCCCATGCTCACCTTGGGGAAAGAAGAAAGCTGGAAGCCAGTATCTCTTGGGCAATGCTTCCCAGAGACTGCTTCCTGGATCGGCAGGGGGCCTGGGGTTGGGAGCTGCCGGGGGGGCAGCCTGCTTCCAAGAGCCAATAAATTTCAGGTACCTGGGGATGTGAACAGGGTGGAGGGTGAGGGGCCTCACCTCTTTGTCACCCTTAGGACGCCTGCCCTGCTCTATTATGGACAGAGCCATGTCATGCAGCTCGCCAGTGGAAGGATGGTCAGGTCAGTGGAGTGCTAGGCCCAGTCTTGAGGTACTGTCAAGGCTTCTCCAGCATGCCAGCATGCTGGCCCCATCTGCATATGTCCTGACACACACGATGGCAGTATGGGCACCCTGGCCAGCCTCTCTGGGTCATCCCTGGGTGGCCAGGGCAGGAGTTGGGTGCACAGAGAATCCAGTAGAGTGGCCATGCTCAGCTGCATCTGCTGTGCCTGTCCCACCACAAGCCTCTCCTGAACGTGTGCTGCTTACTCTTGCTCCACGACACCTTGAAATAGCCCCCGTCTCTGTCCCAGCATGGAGTAGTCTGGGGAGGGCTTAGCTGGGTCCTCTGCTTTCCCACCCTGAGGGGAGGCACCCCCCCCTTGTCCCCATGTTCCCAGGCAACCCAGAGAGACCAAGCCACAGCAACCCTCTCCTACCGGTGGTGCAGGGCTGTGCGGGCTGCCTGGGCCCAGGTGGTAAGGAAGTCCAGGCGCTGGCTGAGGTCATCCACCCAGGCACTCAGAGTCTTACTTGACCTGTATGCATGCTTCTGTTGGGTTTAGAGATAGTCACATTTATACACAGTGGAGTACTACTCTGCTATAAAAAAGATAGACTCAAATGACTGGTAGGAAAATGAATGCACCTTGAGACTGTAATGTTAAGTGAACTAACTCAGACACACAGGCTTAAATAGCACATGGTTTCTCTTACATGAGAAACCCAGAGTATAAAGAACAAAATAAGAGATAGGAAACAGGGTGAAAGATGTTTTGCAAATGGGAAGGGGACCAAGAGATGGGAGAGGACAGGGGAGGAATAAAGATTTAAGATGTGCGGTGTGCACGTCCCAGCTCCCCACGAGGAATGCAATATGCTGCAAACACAACCATAAAAATAAAAAAATTTAAAAAGTCACATCATTCTCTACAAATCATCTCTAGGGTTATTTACATTTCTGTGAACTTTAGTACAGATTCAACTGTTGGGAGGAGTCCCCAGCAGCACAGGAGTCTGTGGGGCGGGGCTTCAGTGAGCAGCCCGGCCTCAGGTCCTGGCACCCTCCTCAGGAAGCCCCTGAGCAGTGGGACGGCCAACGAAGGCCCCACAGCCTGTCCTCTGCCTCCCTGGTTGATTCCCTTGGGTAAGATGCCCTTGTTGCTCCTGCCGCTCCTGTCACAGTGGCTCCCTGAGGAGGTCACATCCTATTTGTTTTCTCAGAGATCTGCGGTGGCTTCTGCTGTCCATGGTGGGCGGGGACGGGACACTGCAGTGGCTGGCTGAGCATCACTGAGCCCCGACCCTGCTTCCACCCAGAGCTTAAGGCTCTTCCAGCTACCTGCCCGCTCCCTGGCACCCTTCCCTGGGCCCTTTGCAGCCCCCATGCTCCCTGTCCAAAGCCGGCCGCCCCATGTGGCTGCCCACCTGGCCACTAGCCCCGTGTCCCCAGCATAGCTCTGCATGCTAGGAGAGCCAAGCTGTGCTGTCTTGGGCTCAGCCTGTGAGGCCTGCAGGCCCTGTGCTTCAGCTGCAGCACAAATCCTACCGCCTTTCTGCTGTGCCCAAACTCCTACCAACCCGCCACACCTTTAGCATTTGTTTATTACACTTTTCTTCTCAGGAGGCTGTGCCATCTGTGAGAGATTCCCGTGCTCCAGAGCAGTACAGCTGATTTAAATCTCTTCCTGTCTTTAAGTGCAGTGGGTGTTAAACTATAATCCATGCACAATATCTCAGCATTGCAGTACTTGGGTCAGTGTGCCTTGCTTGTGTTCTGCTGTGGCACTCAGTCTGGTCCTTGTTCTCACATCTGTGTGGCTCATTCTAATGACCCACGTGGTCCTCCTGAAGGGCACCCACAGGATCCCAAGGGTGGGATGGGAGTCTTGGTGACCGTTTCCATACATAGGGCTGCAAGCTGACCCAGAGCCTCTAAGTACAGAAGGCGCACAGGGGGAGACCGGAGGAGGAGCTTGTCTCAAGTCCCTCTGCACGCTGAGCCAGGGCTCGTGCAGACCCTGTGGCTAGAGGAGGGCCCTGCATTTCCCTCTCCTTGCATATGTCACAGTTTTATCTGTTCACTTGTTGGCAGACACCTAGAGCGTTTCCGTAGCTTAACTATTGTGAATTGGCCATATAATAAGTATGGGCTGGGGCCGGGGAGATGGCTCAGTGGAATAAGCGCTTCCTTGGCAAGTTCAAGGGCCTGAGTTCAATCCCTGGTTCCACCAAAAAAAAAAAAAAAAAAAAAAAAAAAAAGTATGGGCATGAAGATCTCTGCAGTATTTGGACTTTAATTCTGCGAGGCACATGCGCATGAGTGGTATAGCTGGATCCAATGGTAGCTCTAGTTTTCATTTTTCAAGGAACCACCATACTCTTTTTCCGTAGTGGCTCTACTAGTTTACATTTGCAACAATGTAAAGGAGGACCTCCTTTCACTCTGCCTCTTTGCCAACATTTGTTGTTTTTTTTGTGTTCTTGATGGTAGCCATTCTGATTGGGGTAAAATGGAAACTCAATGTAGATTTAACTTGCATTTTCCTAGTCTAAAGAAGTTCAATATTTTTTCACGTACTTATTGGCCATTTGCATTTCTTCTCTGGAGAAGTATCTATTCAGTTTGCTGGCCCATTTGTAGATTGAGTTACTTTTTATTTAGGTGCTTTTTGAGCTCTTTATATATGCTGCATATTACTCCTCTGTCAGAAGAGTAGCGGGCGCAGACTGTCTCCCATGCTATAATCTGTCTCTACTCTGCTGTTTCTTTTCTAGTGCAGAAGCTTTAGTGGAATCTTATTTGTTGATTCTTGCTATTATTTACCATTCTATTGGAGTCTTTTTTTTTT